CTACAAGGCACGTGACATAGTGCCTTCAGTTGTGCTTGTCCAGGAGAGCAAGTCACGTCGTAAAGGGTATAAATACCCAGGATTTCCTTTCAGTGAAAGAGACTGGACCAGACTCTGTCTTGTCTCCATCTTTTTCGGCTCTCGCCCCTCGGTCCCCACTCTCTCTTGCTAGACCCTGAGCTGCGGACCGGAGCAGCAGAACCCGCCCGTTACAAAGTAGCAGAACAGGCGGTTACAAAGTAGCAGAACGGGCGGTTACAAAGGAACGGGCGGGCGTTACAGCTCTCTTTCATCCTTACACAGAATCTGGGTTTGTGTCCCCGGGCACATGGAGCCTGTGTTGGGGTTTCTATTGCTGTGATAAGGACCACGAGGAAAGGCAACTTAAGAAGAAAGGGTTCATTTCAGCTTACAGGTTCAGGTAACAGTTCCTCACGGAGGGAAGTCAAGGCAGGAACCTGGAGCAGAGGCCACAGAGGAACGCTGCTCAGCCTGCTTTTCTATACCATACAGAAATACCTCCCCAGAGGGGTCCTTCCCATAATGTACTTTGGTTATCTCATTACCAACACTAATTAGGAAAATGCCATAGGCTTGGCCATAGGACAACTTCATGGGTGCATTTTTTTTCCAGATATGTTTCTCCCTCCTCAAATAATGTTATCTACCAGAGAACTATCCAGCAGAGTTCATCTTGGTATTTAAATTATTTTAGTGGCTTTAATGAATTTAAACTGTGATACTATTCATTGGTCTTTATCTCAGGAAATGCTGTCCTTCGGGGATGTGGCCATTGATTTCTCTCCAGAAGAGTGGGAACTTCTGGAGCCTGCTCAGTGGAATCTGTACAGGGACGTGATGCTGGAGAATTACAGCAACCTTGTGTTCCTGGGTGAGCATTGCATCTGTAGAGAATTCGTGTCTCACTATGGACATGTAGCTTCCTCAGTCAGTACAGTGTCTCTTGGGAGTATTTCCTTTGCTTTTCTTTTTTCTTTCTTTCTCTCTTTCTTTCTTTCTTTCTTTCTTTCTTTCTTTCTTTTTCTTTCTTTTTTTTTTTTTTTTTTGAGACAGGGTTTCTCTGTGTAGCCCTGGCTGTCCTGGAACTCACTCTGTAGACTGGGCTGGCCTCAAACTCAGAAATCCGCCTGCCTCTGCCTCCCAAGTGCTGGGATTAAAGGCGTGCGCCACCACTGCCCGGCATGAGTATTTGCTTTGCAAAAGTGAGTTTCATGGTCTTTAAAAAAATTTAGTCAGGTTGTTGTACAGCTAAAAACCACTTTATTGTTTTTCTCTTTATGTGTTTAACCTTTCTGTGTTAGAAGTATATATCTTTCACTATTAGAAATTCAAGGACATGAGGCTTGGAACACATTTATTAAAGTGTTAACAATTCAGTTTTAGTATTTTTCCCTTTAAATGTAACTGATAGTCTGGACATTGTACGTTCCTATATGTTTTTTGGTAATCCTGTCAGAAACCATTCTAAATAGCTCTCTTTCCTTGTCAACTCTATACTTGAAGGGATGTGCCAATTCCCAGAAGAGGGAAGTCTTAAACAGTCTCGTTTCCTTTTCCTACAAACAGGTCTTGCTGACTCTAAGCCACAGCTGGTGACATTTCTGGAGCAAAGACAAGCATCTCCCCGTGTGAAGAGACAAGCAGTAAGAACAGTGTTTCCAGGTCAGTACGAAAGAGGAGGTCTGAGCAAAGTTGAGGTGCAGTGATCCAACAGAAAGCTTAGCTTTCCCATGTACCTTGACACATGATGTTGTCAAGAAAATCTTAGGTCTTCCTTCTTCTCTTGGTTTCAGGAAAGGACATCTCTGGGATGTTTATGGTGGTTTAAGTGTCTTGAAATTTGTGTTTCCCCAGCAGTGAGCTGTGCTTGTATTTACAGTGACTTCCAGGACTCTTCATTTTGTTGAGTCTTCATTATAAAGTGAGACTCAGGGAAATGCCACTCATTGGAGGTCAGACTGAGAAGAGTCATTTATCTGCTGGGGTTGGGAGCAGGCTCATGCCAGAAAGATCTCTACACCAAAGTGAGGCATAATTGCTTCAAACCCATAGTTCTATCACAGCGAGACAGGCAGGGGCGGATGGCTCAACAGTTTCAGTTCTGTTGATTAAAACAGACTGGGGCGGAGAGCAGTTAGGTAAAAGCCAGACAATCCAGAGTCATGTTGGACAGTTCAGTCTCCACTGATCTTAGGGAAGGGTCAAAGCAGTGACTTACTATTTAAAGTGTTATATTGTGCCTATTGGTACAATAATTTAACAGGCTATTTTTTTTTCAAACAAAGATTTACGACTAGTTATTTACCAGGGCCAGACCTGTTGACTAGGAAGAGAAGGATGAGAGGTCCATTCATCCATGGATCCACATCAAACTACACAGTAGGGATAAATGTGATGAAGTTATATGACCTGTGCACATAAGGCCTTCACAGTTTCCAGGACAACTTTATAGAAAACACAAGACAGTATTTTAGACAGCATGTAGACTTACCGTAATCACTAAGTTGATGGTGTCAGAATTTAACTATGATTTTGGAGTTGTGACCGAGAGACTTTAGCATTGTGTCTCTTCTACCCATTTGAAGGATAAGGATTCCATTAGTTGTTGTTATTCTACACAGCTCTCTACCATGAGGCAAATAATAGCAGCCTCTACTGGAAACAGTTCACCGCTTAGCTGTTCTCAAGCGCATGGTGTCTTTCCCTGGGCTCCCCTGTTGTTGTCCTTCTACCTGTCACAGACTCAGGGAGCCAGTGTGACCCATGACAGAGGCTGTGGGAGAAACTCTGAGTCAGTTATGCTTGAGCTTGAAGTGGGAGGGGCTCCTCCTATCTCCAGAACTAGGTTTTCAATGAGATAAAACGGCGTATGTCGATTTATAAAATCATTCTCCATATTCAAAAGGCATTGTTTCTCTGTAAGACTGAACCCAGTCATGTACCTAAGCGTAATTTTTTCAGTGTCTTCAGATGTGGGCAGTCAACCTGAGATGCTCAGTGTCTAGTTTCCTCTTGTAAAGTCCCCAGTGTTAAGGACACTATCCTGATTCTATGAGACACGGATAAATTGGCTCCCTTGTGGATCAGTGTCTAAGTGTTACATACATCAGTACCTGTAGCCTTGAGAAGAGACATTTAAAGAGAGAAACCATGAAAACTAGACGTTTGAGGAACTCAGAAAGTTCTAGAGATGAAAGGAAGGGTATCTGGGCTTGCTGGAGCCAAAACAAAGGCCGACTTCAGTCAAAAGGCAGTGGAGTCCCAAACACACACACACACACACACACACACACACACACCCTTCAGAGGAACGAGGTTTGCAAACCCAGTATAAAGGACCCAACCTCCATTTCGTCTCCAGTATCCCACAGAAGCAGTGCAGCTAGAGGGCTCTCCCCACAGAAAAACTGACTTGAACCCTTGTCCGCAGTGAGCTTGAGTCCTGGACCTACAGGCTGGCTAGTCTCCTGGCATGCTTGGGTCCCTGCTTCTTCCCACTGTGTAGCCCCTGGCCTGGTGGCTACTGCAGCAACCTATGGTCTGCAGTAGAGGTGTTCCTGGCATTACGTGGCCCTTATTGTGTATGGATGAGTCAGTAAGATTGTTAGCTCCTTTCCAATAGCCAGAGGAGCCCTTTGGGTAAGTGTGGCTGGGAGTTACGAGGTTTAGACTTTTGACAAGACCATGAGGGCAACTCAGTGCTGGGCGTGAGTGAATCGAGAAGTAGACATAGTGTGTCTGAGAACCACTAATGCAACCTCGGCAAGGAGGTTGGCATCTCTCCTGGAGCCCAGACAGGAGGACAGAGGAACTCTACAGTTTCCAGTTGCCTTAATTCCAAAGTGAGCTCAGACCGCAGCCCTGAGGAACAAACCATAAGGCAAAGGACAATACCTGAGACAACTTATATTAAGTGGATGTTTCAGTCTATCATTCAGCATCCACAGAAATGACATAGTACATAGACTAGCCTGAACTCAACATCTTTAGTTTAGGTGTTAGAAGGAGGCCCAGGGAAGGATTCCCTGTCAGGAGTTTTTCTACTTACTAGAATCGTTAGCAGACATAATAGATCTTCACTTACCTCCTTGAAGGACGAGAAGCACTAGGTCCAGTTTTGGTGTCAGCAAAAACATTTGTCATTTCAAGACCCTTTGGCCCCGATTTGATCGGATGTATAAAGCCAAACCCATAAACAAATCATACGAGGGCAGCTCAGTTTCAGTTCCAGTTGAAACAGTGAATCTTTGAAAGCTGCAGGCTTGGAGGCTGCAGGACATTTTCTCAGTAGTATTGCTTAGCTTGGGTGACCAGTTGGATAAAACTCAGGCAGAATGGAGTCCCTTTGGTCCCTTTGGATTGTTTGCACTGTTTGCACACATCTGAATGCACACTTTTCTGCAGACCTATCTGTGAAATCATTGTAAGAAACTAACATCACACTTAAGTGTGTCTCAAATCACTTACACTCATGCTAATGAAACTCATCCCAAGCCTTGTTTGTGAAGGTTTTCTAAAATGTTTTCCTACACATACTCAGTAATAAGGATTTAAAATGCATGCATTTTGTGGATATATAATTCAAAGATTAAACTATGCCTCTAGGTGTGTGTGTTTAATATCTCATCAATAAGCTTTCAGAAGTTTGTGGATTCAAGATTTTTCCTTTGTCCTTTGATGTTCTGTATCGTTGTTTCTAAGTGTGCATTGGGTATCATCACCTGGTATGCTCACCCTATATATTTTGGTGGGTGGTTAAAATACATTGATAGAACATTTAAGGAGAGTGTAAGCTAAAAATATCTGTAAGCTTAGCTTCTATGAATTTTCTCTTCATGGGTAGACAGGGCTCTTCCATTTTCCTGTTGTGTTCATTGTCTCCACTCAGTGCTCAATGCTTTTTTAATCTTGTAAATTAATTAGTTTTAGAAATCTGTCATTTCTCGGGGCTGAAGAGATGGCTCAGTGATTAAGAACACTGACTACTCTTCCAGAGGTCCTGAGTTCAATTCCCAGCAACTGCATGGTAGCTCACAACTATCTTTAATGGGATCCGATGTCTTTGTCTAGTGTGTCTGACGAAAGCCACAGTATACTCCCATATAATAAATAAATAATTCCTTAAAAAA